TTAAACATATTTTTCTTAATCTTTTTAATATTTATAACAGTGGCTTTGCAGTCTTTGGCTGCTTAATCTAACATCTGAGCCCACTTGAATCAGTTTCTACTGACTTCTTTTTTTTCAGAATACTGATCACACTTTTCCCATTTTTTTGCATGTCTTGTATCTCTGCTGAGGAATCTGAAAAAAGGCCTCAAGACATCCATTAAATACCTTAGAATTTTATGATTTTTAGAGATTCACAGTTCAGAAATTTTAATTAGCTATATTTTTCTTATTATGTCATTTTGAGTTTTGTGAAACTTTTAAGTCTTACAAATCTAATATAATTCAGCTGTAGTAGAATGCTAACATGTCACTTTATAATAATTTAAGTCATTAAAAACTTGAAAAATCATGAAAAAAGCTCAGTTTAAGATCTTAAAATGAAAAATTAGAATACTAAAATATACTATAATTTTTTGAAATTAGATTCTACTTAAATTATAGTGTAATTTTACTTCTCTACATAAAATAATTTTAATTAAAATACCAGGGTAATATTTTAACAACATTTATTTAAAATAAAAATTCTTGAGGACTTCTGGTCAAGATGGCAGAATAGACAGTCCCCAGCATCACTCTCTTCCACAAATCAAACAATTTACAACTGTAAAAAAATAAGGACAGCCAAGCTGGGGCCGCTAGAGCTCAGGGGAAGAGGAGGAGAGACCTACAGAGTTCATGAAAGCAGGAGAAGCCACAATGAGAGAAAGAAAAAACTGCTCTGATTGTCTCAAGCCATGGCTGCTTCCAGGCTGGAGCTGCTGAGCACTTGGAGCAGGAGCCAACAAAAGCTGCAGCTGTGCCCTTTTGATGAAGTTGCTTAGAGGCAGCAGGGGAGAAGAGGGCTTTGGTGGCCCCCAGGCCAGCAATTCTACTAATAGGGCTCCCATGGACCCACATAGGAGCGAAGAGAAACAAAAACCGAACAAAAGGAGCTACTCAAGGGCTGGTGAGTCATTGCAAGGGACTGGCATGCAGCCTGCCCTTGGGAAGTGTTTGGAACACAGGTGGTGGGGGAGACAGGACCACTGGGATAACACTGGGGCACAGCAAGGACAGCTGATCTGCACCCCAATCAGCACAGGACCACTCAGAGGAGACTGGTCAGGAATACAGAACTGCAGGAGATGCAGTTTGATGAAAAGACTCAGACCCAGACAAGAGTTACTACACAACCGAGGTGCACTGGATCACTCGAGAGGCAGAAGTACCTATAAAGTCAATCATTAAAACCTGATCTGCACAGAAAGCCTTCCCCAGGGAACCAGTAGCAAAGCAGCAATTTAGCTCAACCACAGAGCTCAAGTTCCCCCATTTTAGAAGCAAAGGACAACAAATTAGTTCCAGTGCAGAGTTTAAGTGGTAGGAACAGCAAATAATCCAACACAGAATGAAAGAAAAAACAAAGTGCCCACAACCAGAGACAAAGTTTGATATTAACTAGTAAAGGTCTCATTTACACCTAGAAGGACTGGATGTCCCCTGGGCT